TGGGACACTGGCCCCGTGCCCTGCTCCCCAGCCACTGGCTTCACACATAAAACCTGGGGGTGTTTCCTGTGCCTATGCCCTGCTCCTGGTCCTCCGCCCGCACTCTGCTCCTCAACCCCTCATCTCACCTGGGGCTCGGGTCCTGGCTAGCGGCTCCACCTCCGCTCCCAGGCCTCTGCTCCCAGGGCCCGCACCACTCCTGTCCCTGCGCCCGGGTCTCTGCTCCTGGGGCCCTGGCCGCTGGCCCAGCTTCCCGGCTGTTGGCCTTGTGCCCGGGGCCCCGTGCCCAGCTCCACAGCTGGGGCTCTGCTCTTGGCCCCACACATGGGGTCCCGGCTGCTGGCGCCTGCCTGGGGCTCCGCTCCTGGCCCCACGCCCGCCCCCTGCTGTGGCCTTGGCCCCCTTTCCCCTGTCTGGGTCCCCCCCTCCCTGAGGCACAGCCCTGCTCCCAGCCGGGGGGTGGGGGAGGGACAGGAGTAAGGGGGCGGGCTTTCAGCACCCCTACTACTAAAAATGTTCCAGTGCCACTCTGACCCCAACGGCTGTGGAAGGGTCCCAATGGGGTTCGGGCCAAGTCAGAGGCAAGTGGAGTTCTCAGGCACGAGGTATGGGATCTGGGAAGCAGCCTGGGTCTCTGACACGCTTCAAACCAAACACACTGCTTCAGGTAGAATAAACAAATAGATTTATTAACTATAAGGATAGATTTTAAGTGATTATAAGTCAAAACATAACAAGTAAGATTTGGTCAAATGAAATAAAAGCAAAACGCATTCTAAGCTGATTTTAACACTTTCAATGCCCTTACAAACTTAGATGCTTCTCAGTACAGGCTGGCTGGTTACCCTTCAGCCAGGCTCTCCCCTTTGATCAGCACTTCAGTCGCTTGGTGTGGTGTCTGTAGATGTAGGTGGAAGAGAGAGGAAGAGCATGGCAAACATCTCTCCCTTTTATCATGTTATTTCTTCCCACTTGGCTTTGCCCCCCTCTTCAAAGTCAGGTGAGCATTACCTCATCCTAGTCCCAAACTGACCAAAGGAAGGAGGGTGATTCACTCGAGAGTCTAACAGATCCTTTTGTTGTTGCCTAGGCCAGCGTCCTTTGTTCCTGTGAGGCTGGGCTGGGTTTGTCCCATCCATGCCCTGACAAGGTGTGAACGGCCCCTCTGTTCTTGGAGAGTTTTGCCTGGGCTTGCTTTAAGCCATAACCTATAACCTTACTATAACATCACTGTAACAATTACTATAACATCACTATAACAACCATGCTCAGTGCATCATGAACCTTCTGAAGACACCCGACATGACAAACTTTACATTGGCTACCACACAATCATTTTACAAGGATGAACATGGGGGTGCTGGGTGTTTCCCTGAGGTACAGAGAGGCACCGCAAGTGGAGTTCCCAGGCATGGAGTGTGGGATTTGGGAACCACTTAATCAGCCTGGGTGGTTCCTGCACTTACGGTACTTCCCCAGGGGTAGATTCCTGCCTCAGCAGGCAAAGCAGGCTATTTCCTCTCACCTCCCACAGCATGCAAAGGGCTGGAGTGCTACCAAAACACTGATCTCTGTATTCTCAGAGCCAGCTGTGTTCCTTGCTGGCTCTGTGCCCACTCACGCTCAATGACTGTCAGTGCCTTCACCCGCCTCTTGAGATTGGGGGCGAGGGAAGAAGTGTCCACCTTCTCCTGAAGGAGATTGGATGGTTGTTGAAGAACCGCCAACTGGCAGCAGGAGCGGTGATGTGGTGGGTGACAGAAGCAAATACTGGTTGGGGGAGTCACAAATTTAATTGATGTGGGATTATTGTCTGGGATGGGATGCAGAGGTCATTTAGAGGTTGGGAACAGGGCGAGGTTTCAGAGGTAGCTGATCTGACAGTGTAGGGGTGCAGAATTAAACTGATGTAGGATGAGAGCCAGGGGGGAACATGTGAGACTGAATTAGGGGACACACAATTAATTAATTGGCATCCAAGTTTTTCGGGAGGAGATGGGAATCCTTTTGTCATCAAGCAGAACTTGATGCAAACATTCTAATTTTATTCAAATGTAACTTTTTAATGTAGCTGGGGGCGTTTGTGATGCGATATTGACAGCTATGGGGGCTGTGTAAGGAGTAGGACAGAAAACGCTCAGAGTGAACAGCTCCCTCATACTGGAGACATTTCTCACAATCCCAGAATTGCTCATATTTCAGTGTCAAAAAAATGAGAATGCAAAAGACAGCTTGAAAACTCGCACAATTTATGAACTCTGAGTATAGTTTATTTGGTATAAATGATACAGAGAAACGTAACAACATAGCTTCAATAATAAGGTAAGTTACTTCTGTAAGCAAGGATGGAGCTGTTTGTTATCCTGGGAAACAGTGACAAAATAGGTACGTGTAGATGCAACAGTGAATGGCAGGGATTCCTGGATAACATTTCTGTGATAACTTGTCTGAAATTAAAGTCTGTCTAATATGTACAGTGTGGAGTAGACTATTCGTCCTAGTGAGACAAATGGCACTTCTGTATTTGATATATATATTGTCTAAGGCACAATTCACTATAAGCAACATATTGGATCTTATGAATGACTTAAGAAGACACACTTCGTTTGTATTTTTTTTTCTGATTGACGTGCTTCAGTATTGCTATAATAACCCTGATTCTCAGCTGGTATAAACTGAAATAACTCCGCCAAAGTCAATGTAACAAGGCTGATTTCCGCCAGCTAAGGATCAGGCCCTTAAAATGTATGCTCCATATAACTCTCTAGATTTTGAAATATCAATGAAATCCGGTCTTCGCCTTTCCTCTGTGGTTTTTACCTTCTCTGGTGCAGATTCCCTTGACAAGGTAGATTTCAGTTCAGACAGTGATAGCTAACACTTTCCATAGGAATATAGATGTACAGAGAAATATAAACATACGCATCCTCTGGACAAAATATGACCCAAACCAATACCCATTGAAGGGACCTGTTGACTTCAAAGAGAATTGGCTTGGACTTTTATGCCCTGATATTAAGGACCTCATCCCGGCCTCCAGGCCTGCAGGCACAAAACTGTGCCATCAGCTAACTGTGCTCACGGCTGCAGGTGCGAACACTAGCACTTGGGCATCTAATCATTGATTTGTGTGGCACCGTTGTAATTTAGATGCAATTCATTGCAGATGTAAATTTGCACGAGCACAAATAGTGTCGGAGTTGTAAAATCAAACCCTAAATATTGCATCAGGCGTTGGTTACAGTCTCCTAAAAATCTGGCAAGCGGCTGAGTTTTCTGTTGCTTGTCTTCACATATAACTTACTTCTACAAGCTCTTTTTAGTCTATTTGCTATCTTTACGATCACTTCAACAATGTGCGCCTTTGGAAAAAATGCTGTGACTAAACAGAGAAGGAAAATGCATATATGAAACCCTGAAACCTAGATGTGCAATTTTTTATTAACACCACAAAATGCTGTGCAGAGCTTTAGCAAGTAAAGCATGGCAAACGGTATCATTTTTCAAGTGATATTTGAAGCATTGTTCATATTTAAACATTCCAGTTTGAAAACTCAATAAAAAATGTGCAGGAAAATACTGCCTGGTCACCTTGAATATTTCTCTTTTGGCGCTTGACTTACTTGCATTCACTTTCAAGGCCCTTCACAGCTTATCCCCACCCTACCTCACATCTTTCATTCAGTTTCAAGATGCTGAATCTTGCCGCCAGTCGGCCCAAGGTATCAGCCTTCACTGTTAAGTTTTCAAATACCTTTGTGCTCTCTCCCATGGGGCCCCCTCACACCTGGGAGAAGCTCCTCATAGACACCCACCAAGTGTGGGGGAGCAGGCTCAGCCCAGCAGCAGGATCCAAGCGCAGAGGGACTTAGTGTGGGGGGATCCAGGTGGGGGTAACAGAGGTCTCTGTGGGGCAATCTGGGTGCGGGCGGCTCAGTGGGAGATCTGGATGCACAGAGGCTCATTGGTGGGTTCCAGGGGCAGGGGCAGTGGGACTCTGCAGGGGATCCAGGTGAAGGTGTTTGTGGCTCAGCAGGGAGGTCTAGGTCTAGGTGCAGGGGAGGTGGGGTTCATTTGGGTGGGGGTGCAGGTGGTTGAGACTCAGTGGGGAGGGTGTCTGGGGGGGGCTCATCGGAGTGGTACAGATGCAGGGGAGGTGGGGCTTGTCAGGGTGAGGGTTCGATGGGCCTGCTTAACAGGGGAGCCCCAGCTTTTGCCAAGGGGATACCGCATGCTGGGCTCCAGCTTCCCCCCTACCCCGCTTG